ACCCCTTAGAAGCTAAATAACAAAATTTGTCCATTAGGTACGATGTGATACTACATACGTATCAGACATGCACTTACCCAAAATGTATTGTTCAAGTAGACTATATTCTTTTGATCAGATTTATGATCCATTTTTTAAATCTTCAAAAACATATACAGTATAAGAGTTTGTTAACGTACACTTGTGAGTAAATCCTTCGTAGCTATATTTTTTACTGCTAAAATCAAGATTAGTCTTCTGTGCGTATCAGAAGAATTTATGATAATTGGCAAATGGCAATGAAGTAGTTAAAGCTGGTGAACAGTCTAAGAAGTCTGATCCATGCATGAGAATTGAGACAGTACTGTCTGATTTTTTATTTTTATTTTGCATAATTTATAGTTAATGAATTAATTCAAGCGATCATGTGCAGGTATGAAGATTTTTCTATAATATACTCTCTACAAACGATGAACTATGCGAGTCAAATGCATATGATCACATCCATCCTATCATCTTTCACATTTATCTTCCATCTAGAGAATTATTATTAGCACTCTGATTTTTTTATTCGATTGAATACCGAGAATTTGAACATTTTGATATTCTTTGATTCTTGAAGAATACAATTTTTTTTTTCTAACGAAAGTTAAAATTTCATTAAATTAAATCGCCACAGACAACCAACAAATAGTTACAGGCAAACAATCTGATAAAAGTGTACTTTGTCAATCAAAACCGTAGCTAATGAAGCCAACTTATGGGCTTCTTCGTTCCCGTATGAAACACTAGAATAATGAGCCTAGTTCAAAACACAACAAACCTTAGTAGCAATTTTTAAGAAATTGCAAATAATAATAACAAAGACTCCTGTTTTAATAAAATAATTAAAAAGCGAAATACATGGACTTGGAAGTGCAATGTATCTAGTTGAAGTAAACAGCAGCAGGTTAGAAATGACAGTTAACAATCTCACAAGACCTTTATTATCATGTATACAAATGGTGGGTGAAAAATAGAGTTAGTCTTTCACTTATTAAAAAAAAGAAACTTTCTCTAAAATATATATAAAATTGAAATAAGAGAATGGTAGGCCAACAGTCAAAACAAGTACTCTTACGTCCCATATAATTAATTAATTAATTTTCTGCAAAAAATAAGTTTCCTTTGGGTAGTTTTTTGATGTTGAAAACATAGACTGTTCTTTCCTACAGTTATAACAATTAATATATAGGTAAAGATAAGCCAACAACGGACCAAATTAATTAAATTCCTTAAATTTGCCACTTTTCAAGATTTTCTCTTTATTTTTCTTGTTTTTGCTTTCTCATGCATGCGTGCCGAATTCTATTTAATTTCATTGAATTATTAAAAAAATCCCACAAAAGTATGAGAGATATCCCTGATGTCATACTTTTTTTAAGCTATACATAAATAGGAGTCGAGAGTTGCTATTTTCAAATGAAAGTCTCTGAGATACATCATTACCAAACTTCGGAATAATAAATTGCAACATGTCACTTCAAATATGATGCTATCACAATATATGGCATTTTGCTATTTACTATTCTTAGGTGATGCAGTGACATGTCTAAAGCTGTGTGGGACGACAGCCAAAAGGACAACCATGATTTATTTATGTTTACATTGTTAGAATTTTGTAAAGCCTTCCTTGATTACTTTACCTTGCAATATCTATGCGCATATATATTTTTCACTAGGAAAAAGAAAAGCTCCATTATTTTTGTATCGTATTGCTTTTAGTAAATTAAATTTACGTATAATCCAACAATATAATTAATGGTTAGCATATTTGTAAGAAATCTCTACGAGTTTTATGAAAGGGATAATTGCAGCAACAGCTCTAAACTTTTGAAATATGAGCAGATTTTTCTCAAATCTTTGATTTGTTGCAGCCGTCACATTTAGCATTTCTAAATGTTGCATGTGAAGCCCTTTTGAATAGTTTTATCCATAATTCTGTCAGTTGGTCAAAAATTTAACTTTGACCACATTTTTAATATTTTAAAAATGGACAAAAGAGAAAATTTTCATTTATCGCATTAAATAATTAAACAAAAAACAAGAAATAAAAAAACAAGCACACACAAAATCGTCTTCTTCCTCTCAACCCTCACCCACCCCCACCTCAAACCCAAAATCCACACCGACCACCTCCACCTCAAACCCAAATACCCCATTAGAAGAACAGAAAGAAAGATTAATTACGAATCTAGTTTTAACTTTCTATGAAATGCTTGAACATCTCTCTTGATCTCTGAGAATATATCATCTTCTATTGTTTATTATTCTTCACTAATTGAAGGCTATAACTTAGCCTTTGGGTCTATGGTCTCAGCCTGGTCTGCATTTCTTTGAATTTTTGGTGAACAGTGTTTGTTTGCTCTAGTCTAGTCTGTGGGATGATTTGATGACCATGAGACTAAGTATAAAATTGAGTGGGTATTTGTTAATTTAACCCTTGAGATCCACTCTTAAGTATCTCACAATTGAAATTTTTAGAACACATAATTATTAAAAAGAAAAAACAAGAGAATCAAAGCGCCAGTGTTGTCCAATCCCTAGTTTTTAACAATTCAATTTTCAATCTTTGGAAGTTTTCCAAGTGTTTTCTTCTTCTTCAACAACCTCTTTCTCAAAGACATAGAAAGAGAGATTGGTGGGAAAGAGAAAAATCATAAGAGGAACAAGAATTAAAATAAATATACGAAAAGCGTTCCGGGTTGGCAATTACTTTTTCTAGGTGGAATAGCAACATGGATTGTGTTTTCTTCAATTCTCAATGTGACCTAGAAACTTAGATCTCTTATAGAGCCATGGATCTCTCATTATGTAGTGTCTAGTACTTCCATTGATCTCAAGATCCAGCTTTTGGTAGAAATTCTGAAATCCCACTTCTCATTTTTTTGGACTATAATGATATGTAGTGGTGGAGGTGGCGATGGTAAGTGTGGATTTTGGGTTTGAGGTGGGGGTGGGTGAGCGTTAAGAGGAAGAAGACAAGTGTGTATGTGTTTTTTTATTTAATTATTTAATATGATAAATGAAAATTTACCATTTTGCCCCTTTTCAAAATATTAAAAATATGGTCAAAACTAAATTTTTGATCAAGTGACAGAATTATGGTTGGAAACAGTACAAAAGGCTTCACCTGCAACATTTGGAAAGGTTAAGGTTGACAGCTGCAACACATCAAAGATTTTTGGAGAAAGTGCTAATGTTTCAAAAGATTGAGGCTTTTGATGCAATTATCCCATTATGAAATCATGAAAGTGTATAAGATAATATCTCACAATATCTCTAAAAAAAAAAAAAAAATTAATCACGGCTTAATAATGGGCACTTTAAATTATAAGTTGAGGTACCTCACTATTAATTTATATCTATTATTTGTTTCGGAAACAAAAAAACTTTATTTTTCGCAAGTTACTAATGCTCGCTTTAAGGTCTTGATTTACTAGGCAAGAGACAACTAGAGATATCCTAATGGGAAAATGTTACTTGTATATAATGAAGCTACATAATAATTTATATACAAATGAGGTGTCAAAAAAATAAGTGGTAAAGTTTTTTTTTTTTTTTGGTTGAAACAATTTTGACTTAATTATATCTCGCTACATTATGTATATGTAAACCACTATATAAATCATTATGTACATTCAGTATAGCCGATCTTAATGAAGCACATTTTTCTTTCAAAAAAAGAAAAAAAAAATAATGGCTTAAGTACCAACATTTTAGCTCAATATTTGATTATTCCATTTCAAACATGTTGAATCTAAATAATAATAGAAGTTAGATGGGACATATTATCAAGAATTTGTTGATCACTTTTAATCCTGTATATTTTGTTGATCAAACATCATATATCTTTCGTATTCTTATTTTCTTCATAATAAAAGGGCCGAAGTTTTCGAATTTCAAGAATAAAACTTATAATTTTGTCAAGATCACCACATAATAAAGACAAATATGTTTGATGAAAACAAGCACCTTAACCAAAACCAAGTCCATGTTTTGTAGAGATTCTTTAAAGCTCAACTATTTTCGAACTTGTTTTCAATCATATATTTTCTTAATTAAAAAATTTCAACTTTTTCCTACTTTTCAACCGTACATTCTCAAAAATAAATAAATAAATCATTTTTCACAAAATGTATTCTCAAAAAAATTTCATCAAAGAGGCTCTAAGTTTTATCTTAGTATCCACGTGCAGTTACAAGATCATAAGGCTATTTTCAGTTAGGTCTTGGAAAGCTGATCATGACCTAAAGCTTCCTCCTCTTCTTCACTAAGGTCTAACGACAATATCAAACTTTTCCCTCTTATTCATTTCAATTTTTTAGATTTGGGTTGAAATTCTTTTTTATTTAGCGATTTTTTCGGTTTTACGGCGAAACGAAAATATTGCATTAATTAGGCATACAGTCGATTTTATTGCACATATATATGTTTAAACTGTATAGCTGAAAGGGAAAAAGAAAAATAATTAAAAAAAAAATACTGCTAGGTGGGTATTGTAGGTTGGAATTTCAGAAAGATGTTGAAAGCAGAACGACGTTTAACCTCACCAAGCAACCTTTTCTCTCTCATAAATCAGAGAGAATAATTATATACAATATAATGATTGATTTATATAAATTGTAATTACTTATAAGTGCTTATAATGTTAGTTGCATCAATATGAGGTGCTGCTATGTCCACTTTCTAACGGAAAACACTTTATTATCTTCCCCTAATTCAATCCTCTCTTAGCATTTACATTTCTCTCTCTGTGTGTCTTCTTCACCTCCACCGGCCAAAAGAAAATTCTTTTCGACCCAAAAATTTCGTCGTATAGAACATATATGTAATACCAGTTTTCATCCTTGATCTGCAATATTTCTTTATTTTGTTCCAGTGAAGAACTAATTGATATTAGCTGTTTAGAAGAACTAGGGTTTCAAGATAGTGAGCGATCTCATTTTTTTTTTTTGGAAATTTATCGTTAGACAGAGCAGATGTGTAGCAGAGGGCACTGGAGACCAGCTGAAGATGAGAAGCTTCGTGAATTGGTCGAACGATATGGACCGCATAACTGGAATGCCATAGCTGAAAAGCTACAGGGAAGATCAGGTGAAAAAAAAAAATTAATGTTTCCAATACATATTCACTCCACACTAGTAATGGATAATTAAAATACTGCAAAGAATATTAAAGGAGAAATGAAATTGAAGAAAAATAAATAAATGATTTTCTTAGGGTTTCATCATGTTGATATAAATTTTCAGCTTCATCCCTTGAAATAAATGAAATCTAGTTTGTATTTTTTCTTCTAAGTGCAAAAATAATGAATTAAAAACCCTAAATACATATACGCGTATGTCTCCCTCCTAAATTTGTATATTATTTTTAGTAATAATGAATACACCAACATAATTTTCTTTATAACCATGCTTAGTTATTAGGGCATCAATTGGATAAAACTTTATAAGAATTTTTTTTTTCTTTATTGCTAGCTTATGTGCTCGTTTCATCATAAATTTTCTTATTTTTCTGAGATTTTTTTTTTTTAAAATTTAACCAACATATGTATGTGCCATGTTTTGTTCTAAAAGAAGTGTTGTACATAGTTATATATGTAATTGAGATTGATTACGAGTATATATATTGAACATGAATTTGTGGACTGTGCATATAAAGATATTAGATGATGTATCACCTTCACCTGCATGCAACTAATTAATCATATTGAATTAATATTATCAGGGAAGAGTTGTAGGTTGAGGTGGTTCAATCAGTTGGATCCAAGAATTAACCGAAGCCCTTTCACAGAAGAGGAAGAAGAGAGGCTTCTTGCTTGTCATCGGATTCATGGGAATCGATGGGCTATAATTGCTCGGTTCTTCCCCGGTCGTACTGATAATGCGGTGAAGAATCATTGGCATGTTATCATGGCTCGAAAATGGAGAGAAAGGTCGAAAATTTACGCCAAAAGGGCAGCACAAGCTTTGAGAAATGATCAAAAGCCCTCGTCAAATCAAGATATCCCATTTTTCAGTGGCAAAAGTTTGAGCTTTAATCCTTTTGTAGAGAAATATTCTCAGAGATTCGAGTGCCCTTTACACCAGAAGGAGCTTCATTCGGACAATATGGTTCATCACAAGAAGATAGATGAAGGTAATAAATCGATACAAAATCTAAAATTAATTAGCGTTTTCTTCAACTCTCCAAATGTTTAAATTATTGGATCCTATGGGGTCATAAATAGCTCGATTTCACCTCTCTAGTGCGAGCTACTACTTTCGAGAGAATTGATCACGTCACCTTGCATAAACTCATCAATGTAATTATATAATCTTGTGATTGCAGATAGAAGAAAACCAGCAATAGAGTTCTACGACTTTCTTCAAGTGAATAACCATAACTCGAACCGAAGTGAAATAATAGCCCATGCGAAAAAGTTAGACGACGACGACGTGGAGCAGGAACTTGCAGCAGTTCAAAATCAAACAAAGGAGGCTGCTGCTGCTACTGCTGTACAGTTTATAAATTTTCTATCAGTTCAGAGAGACTCTTAATCTTCACAACTTCACTTTCTTGATGATAACAATGCAGGCTTAAATTACGATATCAAGAAGGTTTAGCAGATAATATACTTTTGGTTCAGTTCCAAAACTAGGATCAATCCTGCATATGCATTGACAGAGGAATCTGCATGCATGCGTAATTAGGGTATACATATATACATGTAGCTTCTATAATTATGTATTGAAAAATTGAATGAAGAGAAAAGAAAATCTTCGTGTAAAAGTCTGTTCATTGTGCTGATCTTCCATATATAATTGTTAAGATTACACCTTATATCGGCCTGTTTTTAATAGATTAATATGCTTTCATCGACATTTATCTCCATCACATATAATTTATTTCTTTCTACCTGTATTAAATTAATCCGGAGAGGTTATCCTTCTTTACTTGCACCAAATAAACATTACCTCAATGAGAGGTGCTTAGATAGATGAATTTAAGCCCATGTTTGGTATGGATTAAAATTGTATTTGGATAGAAATTCATGAAATGTGTAACTGAAAAGTTGTGGGTCTTTTGAAATATGTGATTAAAATTAATTGTTGATTTTGATTTGAATTAAAATCTTCATTTTAATTGCTACCAAACAGGGGCTAAATATGTAAATTTATTTATGAATTTTGATTTGTAGCCTAATATGAGTTGTGGATTTTAAATACATCCAATTTTGATGTTGAAATATGAAAATGTCATTTTTGACATCATGTGTGACGTTCTTGGGAATTGACAATTTTTATACATTAATTTAACAACACTTTAAAACTATAGTGTGTCAACAATAATGTCATATAAGAATGTACATCTAAGTTAATTCTTTTTTATAAAAATGATGAATTTTTTTGAACGATTAAGCCCTGTTTGGTAATAGTCTCTTTTATTTTTCCTCATACTCATTTTAAGATGCACATTCTCACAATAAAATATTTTTCACGTAAACCCAAATTTTTTTTTCTACCTATTAATTATATTCTCCAAAAATTTACTATTCAAAAATTCATTATTCCAAAAAAATGATTGTCAAACAAAGGCTAAGATTTCAGAGTACACGAAGTTGTTGCACATATTTCGAAGATAAAGAAACAGCTTCCAAAAGAAGGCACCATTTTGATTTAGATAAAAATCAATTCTTACTAAATTTAGATAAAAAATTTTAAATGTATGGTTGTATATAAAGTTCATAAAAGTTGTTGATTTAATGAAATATAAAATTAAAATTTATTGTTAATGTTGACTTAAATTTTTAGTCATTTATTAATCTATAATATATCAAATATCACATCAAGTGAAAATCATTTTTTTAGACGATTTTAATCCTACTACAATTCAATTATTTCAATAATACATTACTTTTCATTTTTCAATATGTAATAAATACTACTACTAAATCCTTATCATGTATTAATTTCGTGTTATTAGTTCTCAATTAATTAACATTCACATTAATTTAGATTCAATGAAAGACTGGCTTGTCAACAGGGCCCAATTTATCAAGACACAAAAAGGGACACTATTTTGTGAGTAATCTCACAAAAAATTGTAGAAAGTATTATTGACGATATGAATATTGAACTACATGAATCTAGAGTTCTTGTAGATTAATTTATTTATATTCATGTATTCACAATTAAAATCCCCTGTTTGACACCCATTTTGAAAAAAAAAAAAATCTAGAATAGTGATCGAAAGAAGAATGTGTAGTTGAAAAGTAATGAGAATTTTTGAGTTTATGTTTAGTATTATTTAATTGATAGAATGTGTGGTTGAAATGAAGAATGAGAAAAAAAATGAGAATGAGAAAAAAATGGATTTCAAACGGGGGAGTCATTATGTATTAATTTCTTATTATTAATTTTCAATTAATTAACATTCATATTAATTTAGACGATTTTAACCTTACTACGATTCAATTATTTTAATAATACCTTATTTTTCATTTTTCAATATTTAATAAATACTACTAAATCATTGTCATGTATTAATTTTGTGTTACTAGTTTTCAATTAATTAACATTCACATTAATTTAGGTTCAATGAATGACTGGTTTTTCAATGGGGCCCAATTTATCAAGACACAAAAGGGTCGAGACTATTTTGTGAGTAATCTCACTAAAATTGTAGAAAGTATTATTGACTTGATAAATCTTGATCTACAGAGTTATTGTAGATTAATTTTTATTTCTATTCATGTATTAACAAATAATTCTCATGTATTAATTTCGTGTTATTAATTCTCAATTAATTAACACTCATATTACTATAAACTCAATGAATCTTGACTTGATGAATCTTGATCTACGTGAATTAGAGTTATTGTAGATACATTTATTTATATTCATATATCTAGGAATTTTAATAGGTGTGTAAATTTATGCATAAAAAATTAGTTCTTATGTATCAAATTTAGTATAAAAAGGTTACTCATTTGTGGTATTTCATCGTCACAAAAATTGAATCTGTTATAAAAAGAGAGAATAAGAGAAGATAATAAGAGAAGTTAATACACTTGTGTGTATTATAATGAGAACCAAAGTCTTATATTTATAGGGAAGGAATA